CTCCTTCCTCCTATGGGGTGATGGGGTATCAAGAACTGTGTCTTCCCACAGCCCTCCCACATGCTCACCTCAGATAATTGTGCAGGTTATGCTTAGGGAGTTTGTGGGTTCTTGGGAACATAGTGCCCAAGTGACACAACTAAATGCTTTATTCTCATTCAATGGATGTGTGTTACCCCTGCCTCCCCAACCCTGCCTTTCATACCTCATCTCGTCTCACATAGTACTAACTTTTCCTCTACAACAAGACAGTAAGGTCAGTGTGATCTTGGCCAGATGACTTAATAACATGGCTCAGCAACACTCACTGACATGATCACATGAGCGGGGCAGGGATTTTGCACTGAACTACTGCCCAGCCCTTTCTATTTAGTTTGAAACGTGGTCTCGCTAATTCAGCCTCACTAGAAGATTGAGCTTGAAAGTATGATCCTCCTGCCTCAGGCTACCAGCACACTAGATCACAGGAATACTGCACTGGACCCAGCTACCATGTTTGTTTGTTCTGAGTCCTTTTTCCATGGAAAGCACAAAGTAATGCCAAAATGAATAAATCTGTAGCAGGTGATTAATATTTAAATTAAATAAACAGCATCTCTTCTCTGGATGTGGTTGCTTGTAAGGCTGGGGAAATGCCCACTGAGCGATTCTGAGCACTTTTAGAGAGCTGACTATATAATTCTGTGCTTGCACAGGAGAGCCCAGGAGGATGACACACATTCATACAGGGGTCCTTGTCATCGAGTACAACCTTGTCCCAAGCAAGCAATCCCCTAGGAAAGCAAAAGTCATCAGAGTATTCCCCAGTGCACTGAGAACATGGGGAGTCAGACCCTCTATGTCACTGCCACAACGGTCAGTGCCTCCACCTGCGGATCACTGGTGTCAGCATCCACATCATGATGAAGCACAGGGCCCTGCGGGCCCTCTGCCAAATGAGGCACAGCATTTCCCAGATTCAATCCCTTTAGAAAGGCCATGAAAAACAGCTAGGTCAAGCCAGGTGTGGTGGTACAAACCTGTCGTGCCGGCACACTGGGAGGCTGAGGCAGGAGGATCATGAGTTCCAGCCCAGCATGGACAATTTAGAGATTTAGTGAGATCCTATTTATCAATTTAAAAAAGGGGCTGGGGACATGGCTCAATGTAAATGGCCCTGGGATCAGTTCTCAGGAGAAGAGGGAGAAGGAGGAGGGAGAGGCAGGGGAGAAGAGAAGGAAGAGGAAGAGGAGGAGGAGCAGTAGCAATAGAAACAGTCACCATCAGTTCACAACTGAGTATCAAACAGACATTATAAATGATTACAGGAACTTTGGGGAGGCTATGCTTAGCACCCAAGTAACAGACACCCTAAGGTAAACCAGCCAGGCCTCAGACACCAGCAAGAAGGACCCTCATCAGCCTGCACTGCAGAGGCCAAGCACAAGTGGACAGGGATTATATACTCTCTTGCATGGTTTTGTCCAAAAAAAAAAAAAAAAAAATCAAAGCAACAAAATCAATCCAAGGCCAAGGCTATTAGCCCAGTGGCACAGCTCCTGCCTGGCAAGCATGAGGTCTGAGTTCGATTCCTGACACAAAAAAATCAACCCAGAGTTAATTTTGTACTCAATCTAAGAATGAGCATCTACTACATTTGCAACTTCAACCAAATTCATCTGACATGAATGAGGACGAAATCCACTTGCATTCAAATGCGCCAGGCCATTTCTCAGGCCAGTCAGACTTCATCTCTTTGCCGCCTTACTATCCACACAGGGAAACCTTGGTGTCTAAGTCATCTTTTAGTCAATTATTTTCAGACAGTTTCATGCCATTCAGCTCAGCTGGTGCATCAAAGGCTGCAGAGCAAAATGTCCCTTAGATCAGATCAGGCAAGTCACAGAATGACAGTGTGGTGTGTTCTCCTTTGCTTAAATAAATATAGGGTTAAATTTTTCTGTAATGAATGTATAAGGACTTTTTTCAGTACTGGTAATGGAGCCCATGGCCTTCACACTGAGCTGCATCCCCGGACTTTTTACACATTTTTTGTTGTTGTTGTTTGTGCAGGGTGTCTCACTAAGTTGCGCACTTGCTCAGGCTGAGTTCAACCTCCTACAAACTCCTCCTGCCTCAGCCTCCAGTGTGCTGAGATTTCAGGTGTGTGCTGTCACACTGGCTAACATTAAAGGCTTTTGAAATTACAAATATATTTCCAGAGCAGTATAGTGCTGTTATCCACTTGTCACTTCCCCACTCTCTTTCACTTACATAATTTTATGTCATTTTGACATTCGGATGAAATGTGCTTAGGAGAAACCTCCCTGAGCTACAGAACCAGAGATGATCGAAATTAGTTGTAACCATCCCAGTTCCCTTTCTTAGTGATTGCTGTAGGAGCTGGCATGTGATCAAGTTTTTTCCTGATTTAAAAGAGAGACAGAGGAAAGGAGCCTAACCCTCTATTTCTTTCATGCTTTTAAATATTGTATGAAAATGTGATGCCTGGATCGATAGCTACCATCTTGTGACCATGAAGAAGATGCCAATAAAAATGCCAAAGAAGCCTGATCTTGAGCTGCTGAACTAACCCTGAAATTATCAACCTTGAGACTTTGCTACATAAAGTAATAAACTATTGTCCAAACCACTTTAATTAGTTGCTATGTTACTTGCAACCAAAAACACACCAACTGATAAAAATGCCACAGTTTCAATGTCTAGCTTCTCAAAAGGGTGTGAATCACTTTTTAAATAATCTTTCATCCAGGGAAGTCACAGACAAAATAATTTAACAAAGCTATGCCGAACTCCAGGAGCCACCTCTCCAGAGATTGCATCTCCAAGCACAGCCTTGCTACACTCTCCCTGCCTGTCTTTAGAGGCACTGGCAGCCCTACATCTGGAGTGACCTGTTCTACTGCTGGGTCAGGCTCACCCTGTGCTCCTCTACCGTGGGGATGGCATTTCCTGAGCTCAGATGGATTCCTGCCCTCTCAGCACAGTGCTCTTCCCAACCCCCGTTCAGATCCCTATGTTCCCACAGGCCAGCTGTCCTTGTAGGGGGATGTGAAGCTTCCAGTTCCCCATGGCCACCTGGCTTGGTGCACTTGTTTGTGTTAACTGAGGGTCCAGACACGTTCACAAGCATATGGTCATTATGTTCCATATTGCCTTCATGTTTGTGTTACAGGCTGAACATCCTTTATTTTAATATGCAACAGTATGCATAAACATGGGTGCAATGTGCATAAATATGGAGGAAACAGTCATATATTTATGTATTACAAGTTGAAAATTCTTTCCCCAAAATGCTTGGGACCAAAACTCTTTCAGAGTTGATTTTTTTTCAGATTTTAGAATATTTGCATAGATATAATGTGGTGTCTTGGAAATGAAACATAAGTCTAAAAGCTACATTTATTTCTTTTATATAAATCTTCTGCACATAGCCCAAAGATAACTGATTTAAATAATTGTGTGCAGGAGATAAAATTCCATGGTGTGGGATTTTCCATTTATGGCATTGTGTTGAGGTTGAAATTTTGCAGATCTTAGAGTAGTTTGGATGTTGGATTTTCCAACCTGCACCAGCTTACACTTGGCGACGCTGCACTGAGTACTTTGCCGTGCAGTGGATCACTTCACTCTCACATCAGCCTGGAGGGAGGCTCTCAGTTAATTACCACTCTCTCAGACAGAGGAGAAACGGGCAACATAGAGAGGTCGGGCAGCCTTTCTGAGCTCACACAGCACATGATTGTTGGAGCTGGGGTTTGGACATAGGTGGCTCAGTTCCAAACTTCCTTAAGGTCTAAGAGCTAAACTCATCTTGATCAATACGATGTGCTGCTGGACTTTGCTTTGCCTGAAGTACACAGTAGAAGGGAAAAAACTTCTAAGAAAAATATTAAATAAATAATACCAGGGTGCCATTTGTACGAGGTACAAGAGCAAAAAACTGATGGTAACAGAAGTCAGAACAGCAATTGCTTCTGGTGAGGGTGTGGGAGAGGATCAACACAGTAGAGGCAGGAAGGAGCTTTCTAGAAATGCGCCATGTCTGAGTCTGGAGATTTCACCATTGTAGCCAGACACAAAAATTAACTGTAAACTGGACTCTTTGGCACATTTTTATGCAGTCTACTGTCTGTACCTACCATCTCATTTCAATAAAAAGTCTATCAATAATAGCAGTGGTACAGGCCGAGCATCCCTAAGATGACAATCCAACATCTGGAAAATTTTGAGCACAGACGTGAGGCCACCAGTGGAAAATTCCATACCCTGGAACTTTGTTTCATGCACAAAATTATGAAAATGTTGTATAAAGTTACCTTTGTGAAATAAAGTACATACATAACATAAATGAATTCATGGCTAGGGTTCCATGATCAAGGTGTCTCATTGTATATGTGCAAAATTCCAAAATCCAGGGGAAAAAAATCAAAAACCAGAAATACTTTTGGTCCCAAGCATTTCCAATAAAGGATATTCAACCTGTAATACTTAAACATGGAGGTGATGTGCAGTACTCTTAAGTTTGGTAAAAGCTGGCACAAGCAAGCTTTACAACAAACTGCAAGATGAAGACTGCCTCCCCCTTTTACAGATGAGGAACCTGAGGCCAGAGAGAAAAGACATTTACCCACATTTCCACAGGAAGTGAGGACAGGTTGGCGCAAACTTGGGTCTTTTTGGCTTAGCCCCAGGTCAGCGACCATCTTCTTCCTCTCTAGACAGCTGTCTGGCCAGAACCCCAGGTGGCTAGAGGAACAGCATGCCCCCCAAGCCAGCACAGTCCATGCCCGTATTTGCCCAAGCTGCCTGCTCTCCTCACCTCCCAGGCTGCACATACAGATGTTGGCCTTTTGCTTTTTCCCTTTTTCAGTCACAGTCCTCCTGTCCCCTAGCACCATCTGCCAAGCTCCACATTCCTGGCAAGAACTTCAAGCAGGGAGACAGGAGGGGCTGGGGAGCACAGTCTCCATGGAGGAGGTAGCCCAGCCCCCACTCACCCTGCAGCATGCTCCTGTAGGCCGTGTCGGCGATGGCGTAGATGTGAGGCGGCATCTCGTGCCTCTTCTTGCCCTTGTACATGTCCACGATCTTCTCCGAGTAGATGGGCAGGTGCTTGTAGGGATTGACCACTACGCAGAAGAGGCCGGAGTAGGTCTGTGGAAGGAGAACAGAGCTTAATTCTAGACCTTGGCAGGAAGGAGGCCATCAACAGAGATGCTCAATGCGCTCATGGTGAAGACAGGGAAACTCAGGCTCAGTGGAAGCCCTTGGCATCGTGAGTATTCTGGGTATCAGGGAAAAGGAACGAGGGCAGGACTCTGTCCAAGTGGCCTATCTTGTATTTTATAAATATGTGGTTTTATACAGTGCTGGGTTCAAATAGCAGCTCCATCCCAGTTGTCCTCACCTCGCTGAGGCGCAGGGATTTCAGTAACAGCCACCTACAAGCACTGTCTAATCACCAGCCCCTGAATGGAGCACTGCCCTGTGACAGTGATGTTGATTCTCCACCACCCACTGGACAGAGGGGAAACTGAGGCTTGGCGAGGTTGTCACCAGATCACTGAGTTGATGGCAAATTCAGAACTAGACCTCATAGCTGTCAGCCCTAGAGTTCATCCTCATGACCCTAAGTTGTAAAACAGGACAAACACAGCCCCCCTCCCAAAGAGATCAATACCGATGCAGGATGCAGGATGAGAATCCTCCAGTGCATGACGCGAATGAAAGAAGCCAAGTGCAAAAGACCAAGTGCGGTAGGATGTGATTGTTTGCTTTCTGCAGAACTGGGGGGTTGAAACCAGGGCCTTCACACTGAGCTTCATCCCCAGCCCTTTTGAATTCTTCTCTCTGAGACAGGATCTCACTAAGTTACCCAGGATGCACCTGAACTTGCGATATTCCTGTCTCAGCCTGAACGTGCAGAACGGAAAATCTATACAAAGAAAAAACAGACTTGCAGTTCCCAGAGGCTGGACAGCAAGGACTGCTGCTAATGGGTAAAGGGTTTCCTTTTGGGGTTATAACAGTGTCCTAGGGCTGGGCGTGTGGGGTGGGGCCCAGTGCTTGTCTGCTAGAACACAGGAGCCCTCTACCCCAGCACTGCACACTCACACAAATGCTCTGGAACTAGCTGAGGTGACAGGTACATATGAAAGCACTAAATGCCACTGAAATGTACCTTTCAGTGTTTAAAATGGTGAGTTTCGGGTTGCATGTATTTTACTGTGTAGCAGCCGTCCTGCCTCCTTGTGAACAGGGTGTCTGAGGGGAACTAGAAGAGGGAAGGGGAGGACACAGCTGCTGTGTGGGCCCAGGAGAGAGACCTGCATCTCTGTTCCTCCTCACTGTGTATCAGATCCCCTGTGGGCTGAGGTCCCATTCTCAGCAAATGGGTTCCAACCCATTCTGCAGAACTGCTCTCCCCCAACCATAAGCATCAGCATTGCCACGGCACGATGCTATTCTTCCCTCCAACTCTTTTGAGAATGACTAATGGAGAGGGTCCATCTCTGGGCCACAATGGAGGCAAACCAAACAACAGAGAGGTTATGTGACTTGACAGAGTCACCACGCAAGACCTTGGCAGCAGCAAGTTGACCTCACCTAGCCATGAGTGTGTCCATTAGGCTGTCCAACCTCTGTGTGTCCTCTGGAAATAAGTTGATTGCTGTGCACTCATTCATTCTGTACTTCCTAAACATCATGCAGGCAGGGTGCAGAGACCATAGCAGAATACACCAGAACCAGATGAGCCCTGCCTCCTGGTGCTTTCAATCAAGAGCTAGGTAGATTCCAGTGTGGGAAAGTCTTCCCAGGCTAAGAACAATGGCATGTGACAACAGGGGTGCAGCAGAGTAAAGGGATCCCTCGGTGACACAAGGTTAGTGGGAGGAGGAGGGGATAATCTCCTAGGTTTGGCATAAGGCCCATTTAAACATCCATCAGCCATTTATTGAGCACCCACTGTATACTGCGTCTGCATTGGAGGCTGAAGATAAAGAAGCCAATGACAACTGTTGGTCTCAAGGACTTTACAGAGCAGAAGAGGGAGACTGGGGCATTTAAAAAATAAATCATGAAAACAGAGGCTCATGGGCACAAGGAAGAGAAGCCCCTAAGCCACATGGTGGTGGCAGGGGGGTGGAGTAGAGCAGACTTCTGGGAGGGGCGTGTCCTGGCACTGAATCTTACAGGACAGGGAGCTAACTAGAGAAGCGCCCAGGGTAGAAGGACAGTGTCAAGGAAGCAAATGTAGGTACCTGGAAGAGAACTGCAAGCAGCTGGGCGTTGCTGCCACTTAAAGGAATGGAAAGGCAAAGGCCAGAGGACAGAGGCTCCAGCTGAGGTCAGCAGGGGTCAGAACTGCACCCAGCCTGGTGAGGGTGACATCTGATGGCCTCCTCCCCAGCCTGCCGGCACCAACACCAGAGGTGCAGAGCCCATTTCTGTCCTCTTTAGTCCAGCACAAACCTTGGCATTAAATGCTCACCTGAACACTGTCAAGACAGCCTGCCTTCATCTCTGTCTGGGGAAGTGGGGCTGGCACTGCTCAGGAGCTGCTTAACAGACACTTGCTGTTCATTTGTGTCATGCAGGGGCTCAGGTCTCCTGAAGAGTAAGCACCCAGCCAGTGAGGGCTTGAACGACAGCCAGCCTGGCCACCTCCTCTTCAGGTCTCAGCACTGCCTACAGCTCCACCAGACCACACCACTCAAAGGCACAGAACTGAGAACTGGGAACTTGGATTTTGACCCTCCCTCTGCTTCTTCTAGCTCTGTGACTTTGAGAAAACCTCTGAGCCTCAGTTATCCTCATCTGCAAAATAGGGGTGCAAGGGTGATACTAACAGTTCCTTCACAGGTATATTATCGAATAACATTCTTGGGAAACCTTTAGTGCTGTGCTGGGGTACTCGAGCACCCTTAGTGACTACTCCTGGGCCCCCTTTGGCAAGAAACTTCTCCCTTCACCTGGGACACTCCCCCCCAATCTTCCCTAGCCAACTCATCTCCCCTTTCAGGGCTCATGCTCAGCCATACAAGCTCCCAGCAGCGTGCCCATGAGCCCTTCTCTTGATGGTTAAGTTCAGAGGTTTCAAATCCTCACTTCCTGGGTTCTAGCCAGCATCTCACAGGCCCTGTGCCACCAGCAGGTCTCAGATGCAGACCCAGGATTTCCTTCTCATGACCATATTAGGAAGCAATCCTAGCTGTTCCTGGACACTTTATATGGTCAGCTGCAGAGCCTTGAGCTTGGGGCTGCTCCCAAAGTCTCAGGAAAAAATGAGAAACAGGGAGAGGAGGTGCAGAACGAAGCACTCAGCATGGAGGCCGAGAGATCTCAACTCCACCTCACACCTTTGAGCCCTAAGTGCCTGCTGTTCCATAAAATGATGGATAACCAAGCCTTGTTTACAAAGCCGCAGTGCAGTGCAGTGCTTCTTAGTATGTGTCCTAGAGACTCAGTCCACCAAGCATGAGCTTCTGCTGCCATCTTCATTTTAACTACCAAAGACCAGAAATGACCTGAATGCCCATCAGTAGGGGATGGACTCAATTATTATGGAAGACTACGCCGTCATTAGCGAGTACTGTAGAGTCTATTAAGAAACCATGGCGTATTTAACTTGACTGATGTATTTCACTTAGGGTTATGGCTTCACGATCTAGCCATTTGTTTACCTACCAGTGATTCATGTTTATCCTTTTTTACAATTGAATGGTGCTCCATTGTGTGTATACACATTTCCTTTGCCCCCTAATTTGTTGATGGGAACCTAGACTGCTCTCATGCCTTAGCTATGACAAGGGGATCTCGGGAAGAAAGATGGGGGGGGGGGTGAAAGCAAAAATGATCAAGGTACAACGTGTGTACATACCCACATGCCAAGATGGATGTAATGATTATGTATCCCAAACAGACGCATAAAAAACTACAGCAGCTCCAGAGCATTAAAGCACATAATTAGTAGCAAAAAGCAAGACACACACCAGCATATGAACTGTGGGAATAGTGTGGGGGGAACAAGGTGGGCTCTGTGTCCACCAGTGTAAAATTTTGCTGGGGGTCATATAAGAAACTAAAATCACTGTTTCTTACAAGGAGGGAAACTGGGAGATCAAGGAATGGGAATGATAAGTGACATAGAAATGTGCTCTTGCCTACTATTGCATTTAAGATCTGCATTTATCAACTGTTCAAAGAGCTGGGGTTTTTTTGTTTTTGTTTTTGTTTTTTTGGTCTTTTTTCCTTTTTATCGGTACCGGGGATCGAACTCACGACTGCCTGCTTGCAAGGCAGGCACTTATGCCGCTGAGCTAAACCTCCAGCCCCTCAAAGAGATGTTTTAGCCAGACATGGTGGTGTATGCCTGTAATCCCAGCATCTGGGAGGCTGAATCAGGAGGCTCCCAAGTTCAAGCCCAGCTTAAGCAATTTAGCAACTTAAGGAGATCCTGTTTCAAAATAAAAAAAAAAAAAATTAAAGGGCTAGAAAGGCCATGGTTTCAATCCACAGTGCAACAAACAAACAAATACACCACCAGATGACTATGCAAACACTTATGAACAGACACAGAAAAAGTCATAAGACACCTTTAAGTGAGAAGAACAAGCTGCAACACACAAACACACACACAGAGTTTTTGTTATGCATGTATGCATCCATGATCCTGTTAACCATGTTTCTCCAAGGGAGGGTACTGCCTTTTTTATAATGTATGCTTAGTTTTAAATATTCTCCTGATATCCCTTGAATCATTGCAAGTCCTTTGAAGCTGTAATTACTTGAAAAATCTGAAGGGCTGGTTCATGTGGATCAGCAAGTGGCAGCCTCCAGCTGGCTTTTCTTTGCACCATGGAGGGCCCAGGACACCATGTAGGGCCAAGGGCAGTGACTGGTACGGAGGACACCCCTGCTCCAGCATCCCTGCAAAGGCCAAGATCATTGGGCCAGATCTTTAAGATGAGAAAACTTCCCCTGATAGAGTTAGAAGGCTTTTCTAGACCCCTGGGCCTCCCAGAACTGGACTAAGCATTGGAAAAGTATCCTTTTGGATCCATGGGTTGAGGACTTGGGCCAGGACTGAACGCACAGGACAGTTCTCCACCTTCACCCTGAGTCACGTTCCCAGCCACAGGGGCTCTGTGCAGGGTGGGAGGTCCCTCTGCCTACAGAAACCAAGCAGGACACAGGCCCGAGGGGGTCTGTGTGGTAAGGGAAAGAGGTATGGAGGTCAAGGCCAGCAGCTCTTAGCCCTGCAGTCGGGATACAGGGAGTGCTGGGGACTGAGGAAAAGCAGAGCCCACTGGCCATGCATCCACCTAACAGCGGACTGTTGCATCAAACCCTGCAGGAGCAGCAGGTTCTCTGTTTTTGCGAGCAGTGTAGAAACTGAGATTTTTTTTCCTTTCACTATATCTAATTAACTGAAATTGTTAAAAAGTTACACTGGACTAATAGCTTGCAGTCTGTAGCCCAACACCTAGCAGCTGCTCAAGAAATCATAATAAAGGGTTAAATTCTTTCCAGCCACCCACTCAAAGCTTGGTCAACTCAAAACTTGTAGTAACTCTGGTACCAACCCACCAGCCCCAGCCTATGCCCTTCATCTCCACCACCTTGAGGGCCTCTGCCATCATGAGGGACACCTCAGCCCTGCACTGATGCCCAGCTTCACCCACTTACCAACTATGAGACTGAGCATATCTGACCCTCAGTGCCTGTCTCTAAAATGGGAAACATCAACAGTTAAGGCACTGGTTCTAGGGTTGGCTTTTCTGAATTGGAGACCTATCTTCGGGTCTCCTTAGGCTACTTAACTGTTCAAACCTGAATGTTTTTCAAATCATCAAAAATAGGCATAAATAATATCAACTCTCTTACAACAAATAATAGTAGCAGCAATAACATGTAACATAAATTCTTAATGTTATAAATTATCAAGGAATAGTATCTGGTATTGTGAAGGTAAGAGTCTTCTTTGAGACTCTCATGACAGCTAAGATCCTCACCCAGAAAAAAATAATATATACATATACACACAAACATTTCCTAAAATCACAAGAGGCTTACAAGTTCCTCCGTACCCACTTGCAGTGCTAAGCTCAGAACTTCATGTTGAAGAACATAAGAGGTACAACTGAAAAATATGGTGTGAGCCTTAATTTTTAAAAGTTATTACAGTTAAAGGCACATTACCATTAATCCCTCTCAAATACTCCTGCCCACTTTAACACTGTTCTCGCTTTTTTTTTCCCCTCCCTGTCTTTTTGAGAAAGGGTCTTGCTATGCAGTTTAGGCTGGCCTTGAGCTCACTTTGCAGCCCAGGCTGGTCTTGCACTCGCAACAATCCTCCTGCCTCAGCCTCCCGAGTGCTGGGATTATAGGAGTCTGCCACCACGCCCGGCTCTTGCCATTTTCTGAAGCAGTTCTAGAAGCTCTCTTTTGTGTCTTTAGTTGTGGTGTTAGGGCTGCCTTAATGTCCTGAGGTAAATTCAAAACATTTACCTTTCATGGACATTTTGAGTTTGGGGAAGAGTCAGAGTTTCACAGTGTCACAGCTGGTGAGTAAGGTAAACAAGAACACACCTTAACATCTTTAGGAGCCTGCCTTCGTGTTGGAGGACACTCAGCAGCAGCATCACCGTATTTTTCATCATGCCTCATAAACACTCATGAAAAAGCACTTCAAGAACTGCTTCAGAAAGTGCCAAGTGTGGTGGGATGAGTGTGTTTGAAGTGGGGAGCATTCTAAGGCGATTAAGGGTGACATGTCTTTTACTGTAGTACATTTAAAGGTTTAAACATTTATTGTATGTTTCAATCACTGCTTGCACACCCTAGAAGAGCTGTCATAGATCTATATCTAGCTCGAGTGCATCTTGTCTTCTTCCACTTAATTGCAAAACAATCTCTGGGTAAGAGTGGGAGCTGGCACCCCACAGAGAAGCAGGGGAGCAAATGAAACATACTATTACAGCCAGGCATGACCCAAGTGGGAATCTGGGTCCTTTCCGAAGTGTGTTATCTCTCTGCCTAATCTATACAGTGAGATGTCGGCTTCTCTGGCCCCAGCATCACAAAGTGGGCTGGGGAGGACTTGGGACAGTGCCTGGCCCAGAGCAGGCCCATATCTAGTGAGCTTGCTCCTCCTGGATCCTGAGCCAAGGGCTGTGGGCAGAACTGACCATGTATGTGGTCCAGGACAAAACCGAGGCAGAGCAGATCCCACTTACAACGGTGTCCATAAGAACAAGGGGCCGTGTGCAGGAATCAGTGCTGTAATCCCACACCAGGTGGGTCAGGTGCATGCAGCAGCTCAGGTGGGTCCCTGGATATTGTGGATCCAGAGCCTGCCTCTCTCCTGTAAGCAGACAGGCTGTGCATAATTCTGCAGATGCTTCTGGGTCCATAGGACAAGGGGTCTGCCAGCACCTCCTCAGAGGCCCTTTGTTTGAGGCTGGCTTGTGGAATGGACAGGAAATATTTCCTCATCACCAAGGACAAAGTTGGTGTGGCCGGCTGCCTGGGCCACAGGCAGGGTGTCATCACTTGCCACCGCATTAATAAGAGTTATATGTTCTGTGATTATGGGCTGGAAGAGTGGCTTACTCTCCCCTCCACCATCCTCTGTCATGGGCTATAGTTTTTATTAAGAAGTTAAATTGAGCAGAAAGATACAAAACAGAAGCAAGCGCATCGTCACAAGGCCAAAAGGATTTTAATCTAATCTGTCCAGAGAAGCATAGCAGGTCTTTGAAGCTTTCACTTTTTAATATGATCAGATGATACTCTGGGTCCCAAGACCTTCATAAACCCCTCATTTGTTCTGATTTCTATTTTGGGTTTAAATGTCATGTTGGAGGACAGCAGCTGAAATGGAAGCACAGGCCTATCCTCAGTGTCCCTGGATGGACGTGACATAGGGGGATCGGGGACCCGATTTCTCCTCTAGCATCCTGTAGTTTGGACTCTTAGGAACTTCCAAAGTACCAAGAGACCTAGGATGGTATTTTTAAGTAAGAAATGTTATGAACAGAAGAGACTTTCTCTACTTGGTTAGGGAAAGCATCCTAACCAAGGGTTAGGGCCTCAGCTCACTTGCCTGTAAAATGGGACAAGCCCTAATGTGGGATGCTGTGCTCATTGAGTTAAAGTAAGCCAAGGTCCCATACCTGGACTGAAGGATGCATTTCATGGTTGTAAACTTCTGCCCCTTCCCTGTGGCTCTTAAAAAAGTCACTGCATCCCCTTCTGAAAAGTGTCATAAGAATAGGTGATCGACCCTGGCAGCCCCACGTGGTAGATGATGCAGCTCCTACAAGGATGACTCTGGGTTTGTGACTAAGAGGACGGAATGCTCAGCACCGGCCTGAACACGGAGAAGCAAGTCACTAAGCCGTGTGCGTGGCAGGCTTTGAAGCGTGTCTCCTTGTACAAAGCAACCCACTGCCCGAGGCTGGTGTAATTCCTGTGTCCACTACACAGAGGTGGAACCAGGTTTCAGCGGAGTTAGAAAGTCTTCCCAAATGATTAGCACAGCTTAGGAGGAAGAAAAGTAGACAGAAGCAGGGCTGTGAACCTCTGCCTACCAGGCTGGCATCATGAGCGGCACATCTGTGTCCCTCCTGCTCTGAGGAGTTGGTTCAGTCCCACTAACCGTCAGCACCCCTCAGCCCCCAGCCCTACTGGGTGGTCCAGGCTGTCTACAGAACTGTGGGGTGAGGGTGAGTTAGACCTGTGCTGTCTGATATGGTAGGACCAGTAGAGGTTGAGCACTTGAATGTGACCAAGGTACGACTGAAAAAACAAAATGTTAAGCACTAAAATAAATAAAATAATTAAATAATGTATGTGGTCCATTACAAAATAGTTTAAAAATAGTGAAAACCTTGGTGTAATTACCCACATGTGACTGGCAGCTACCATGCAGGACAATACAATCTTCGTCCTCTCTGGTCTGCAGAATCCATCCAAGGAGTCCCAAGTCCCATCTGGTCATTCCCATTTGTGACTGGGAAGTCATCCTGATACCTATCCATATTCCCATCCAAAGGATGGAGCAGCTTTTTGGAGGTGGTTATGAGTTCTTCCCTGCTTCCAAGATGGCGGAAGGACAGGAAATGATGCTACTGAAATCTCTGGTGACTCTTGTCATGCATTTACAATCTGTGACTTACTTGGATTTGTCACACCTCACATATGCCCTAAGGGTGATCATTCCTCTTTATGGATTGAAAAAACAGAGGTGTCCAGAGGGGAAATCACCTTGTGTAGGTCCCAGAACTAGCACAGGGCAGAGGACTCAGATGTGAACCTTGGCCTGAGAGACTTTACCTCACAGTGTGGGTCCAACCACCAGCTTTCCATATGGCACCCCAAACTCATTCCAAGCCCCTCCCCAACTCAGGATACAAGAGACCGGGAAGAAGTGTCGAAACCTGGAGACACTCACGTAGATGAGTCCTGAGAAGTACCTCTCCCTCAGGTTGTGCAGCACAGAGGCCTCATTGAGGCACGTCAGCTCCGCCATGTCCTCCACCTTCGAGAACTTGGGCGGGTTCATCTTCTGGATGTCATCTTTGCCGACTGTGATCTTCTTGCCATTCTCCACCAGCTCCACCACCACCTCATCCCCTTTCTCCTCCTTGATGCTGGCAGCCTCAAAGCCTTGCTTCTCAGAAGGGACCCAGACCAGCCTTTTGGCTACCCAGTCAGCCTGGGCCACTGGGCTGTTGATGAAGTTTTTATCCACAAAGAGGAATTTCTCATCATCACTGAGTTGGGTCTTCTGCGCCATGGTGCCTAGTTGGTCCCCTGTGGAATAACATGACAGGGTCAGAGTCAGGCAGAAACTAGGCCTTAAAGACAGGTAAACCTCTCATATTGCATGGCTAGGCACATGATCTGCATGAAACGCTCCACAACATAACAGGATGTTCCTTGCAATCTTTATGTTGTCAAAGACTGGGAACAACCCAAAGGCCTTTCCGAAAGGATTTGTATCCCTGCTCAAAATAACAAAACCCAAAAGCAACCCAAATATCCACCACATGGGACTATATATATATAAATCATGGCATTTTCATGCAGTGAATGACTACTCAGCAAGAAATAGGCCTGTAAGTATCAACATGGAACACTCAGTCATACTGCAAAATAAAACATGGGTCTTCTAATAGTTAATGAAACTACAATATGATCCAAAAATTTCATTCCTTGAAGTATATCTTCAAGACAAATGCAACCACGTGCTCACTCAAGTCTACATGAATGTTCACAGGAGCATTATTGAAAAGAGCAAAAACATGGAAACAACCCAAAAGCCTATGGGCAGATAAGTGGATAAATAAAAAGAATGGAATACTATACCATAAAAAAAGCCATATGCTGACATGAGCTGCTACGTGGCCCAACCACGGGAACATGCTAAATGACAGACAGAAGCCAGACACGGAAGGTCATATACTGTGGGATTTTGCTTACATACAACGCCCACGAGAACAAAGCCAGAGAAGCAGAAGGTAGATGAGTGGGTACCAGAAGCTGGGGGAGAATGAGAAGCAATAGCTAAAGGGCATGTGGCTTCTTCGTAGGGGGATGGAAGTGCCCTAGAGCTCTTTAAAGACAATGAAAGCCCTGGATTATATAATTTAAATAGAGGTGGGCTGGGGATATAGTTCAGCAGCACAGCACCTGTCTGGCAAGTGTGAGGTTGTTAGTTCGATTCCCAGCACCAAACGCCTCCCCCCAAAACCCAAAATAATTTAAATAGAAGAGGTTTGGGGGGTGGGTATGTGCTTAGCAGATGCCAGGCCCACAGCTGAGTCCCCAGCGTATCTACACTCATTAATTCTATTCTATGTGAACTTTACCTCTATAAAAAATGGGGCTAATGGGGATCAAATTGCAATAATTTGATAACAATTTTAAAAAGAAAGGGGAGAATTGAGAAACAGTGAATGCAACAGCTCATTTTCTATTTTAAAGTATTTAGAACTGGAGAAACATGCATTCTCAAATACAGTGAGGAGAGAACTCTTGCCTTTTGTTATGCTTTTTTCCAAGTTTTCAAACTATGATACAATGTAGGTAACATAAAAGTTACTGTCTGAACCACTTGTACATGAACAGGTCAGTGGCACTGAGTGTATCTGGATTATTGGGTAACCAACCCCGACCTCTGTCTTCATTTTGCAACAACTGAAATTCTGTACCCTTCAAATAACACCACACCAGGTGTGGTGGCACACACCGGTAATCTCATGGCTTGGGAGGCTGAGGCAGGAGGATTGCCATGAATTCAAGGCCAGCCTGGGCTACACAGCGAGTTTAAGGCCACGCTGAGCTACGTAGCTGGACCTTGTCTCAAAAACAAAAAAACAAAAACAAATAAACAAAAACCAAAACAATCCTTCTCATTAGTACCTTCCTCAGCCTCTGCCAACCAGTATTCTATTTTCCATTTCTATGATTCTGATCTTTCTGAGTACCTCATGTAAGTGGAGTCCTAAAGTATTTGTCTTCTTATAACGGGCTTGTTTCACTTAAGGTGTCCCCAAGGTTCAGCCACGTTGTAGCAGACGTCAGAACCACCTTCCTTTTAGGACCACGTCTCCCTATTCGGTCTCCCATCACTGGTTTCCTGGACCACATTTTAACTATAATAATGCTATGGTGAACACAAGTGTACTTCCAACTCTGTGATCTTCTTATATTTGACTGTTCAAATATTTTTATTAAATTTATGGTCAACAAAAGTAAGTATTTTTACAAAGCCCTTCAAATATTTACAAAAACAGAACATGAGAAAAAAATTTCACTAACAATTGAAGAAATGCAGTGACAGCAATGAGATGTTGGTTTGCACCTATCAGTGAGGCTAAGACGGAACCACTGGTGACAGCCAGGATAACCAAGAACACTACACCCTGCAAACCTTGAGCTTGTTGGCAAGGAAAGCTCTAACCATGAGTCAGACCTCTGACTTGAGCCTTCACTCCTCAGACTCCAGCCTGTAGAAACAGACGCGTGCTAACTAACGAATGTACATTACAGGAACAGCAGTGCCTGGGGGTAGCCAAGCACATGGGCACCTGCGAAGCCTGTTCCACTGTGGACCCTCCATCTGAGGAGCCGCTATTACTCTAGAATTCCACCAAAGACTTAAAATAGAGTTTTTACTTATGCTACACAAATGTTTTTCTCTTTTAACCTCTTGAAGAATACATGAATATATGAAGAATGTATGACGTAAATTTCTCCTATTGTAAACTGGGTGTGGTAGACCGCACTGACGATCCCAGTGCTTTGGGAAGCTGAGGCAGGAGGACTGCAAGTCCAAGGCCTGCCGAGGCTACATAGTGAGTTCAAGGCTGACCTGGATGACATGGCAAGGTTTAATCTCAAAAGGAAATAAAACAAAATTTCTCCTATTGTAAACGTACAGTTCAATGATTTTTTTTCTGTTAGTAAACTCACAAACTTGTGCAGGCATTAGTACAACAATTTGGCACATTTCCATCATTCAGAAAAGGTTCAGTCATTCACACTGCAGCCACTCCCTGTCCTAATTCCCAGGCCTTGGGAATCACTACTGATGTTCTGTCTCTACAAAGTCACCTTTCCTACACATTCACATAAATGGAACTATACATAGGTGACCTCTGACTATGCAAAGATGCTTATGTTTTTAAATCAAAACCAAAGTGAGACCAGGTGTGGTGGTGCCTGCCTATAATCTCAACCCTCAGGAGGCTGAGGCAGGAGAATCATCATGAGGACCAAAGCCAGCCTGAACTACACAGCAACATCCTGTCTTAAAAACAAGCAAACAAACAAGGGGACCCATTTCCAATTGATTCTCCATCCCTCGTCCACCTGTGTCCAGCAGGAAGAGCAAGTCTCAGGGGCCGGCTGCACCTGCAGGAGCTGCCTGGTGACACTTTCTCCTGCCGTAAAGAGCTAACCTGCTGCCGAGTCAGGACACACATCCACCAGGACCCACTCTGGGGCTGATGTTCCTACTTCAGAACAAAGTTCACCCCTTTTTTGAATTCAACAAGACAGTGCCCATACTTGGCCCCCGGTTCCAGAGACAAGAACCCCCAAATCCTGTGACAGCCCCATAGCCAGGCATCTAACTCCTGTAACAGGAAGCAACTTGGGGGATACAGGTTTTGCAAGACAAAAATATGAGAAGATGCTATTCCTGCTTTTCTCTTTCAGAGCTTAAAAAACAAACAAACCACAACAACAAAGAAAAACCCCAATGATAAGATTCAGAAGCCATTTGTTCAGAGGGAAAGGTAACGTCTCCCAGGGGATCTGACCTAATAGCTAATTAAAACAAAAGAACAACAACAACAACAACAACAACAAAAAAAAAAAAACAGATGGAGAAATAAGTAAAACATTTTCCCTAAATCTGAATAGTCATGTTAGTTGTTCTAAGAGCAAAATTAGTACTTTGGGAGCTGAGGCAGGAGATCACAAATTCAAACCCTGTCTGGACAACTTAGTGACTTACTGGAACCCTGCCTCAAAATATTAAAAATGTGGGAAAGGCTGGCTGTGTATCACAGTGCAAAGGTCTGGCTTCAATTCCCACTACCCCTGAAAAAATTGAAATAAAGAATTGGAGGGATTATGTGCTATCCTAGGTTGAACAAACATTTTTTCCTGCATTTCCATGTTGTTTTTAAGTTTTGCTTAGAATTGAATAACCACAAAAGCACCTCCCTTGCCCCTCTATCATACCTCTTAAAAACACTCCCTCTGCTAGCTAATAAATGAAGATACGGCAAGACTAGAATGTAACCACCACTCTGTAACCCTAATAAGATAAGGAGCTTTGGCAGTGACTCCTGTTCACTGCTAAAAGCATTAAGCCAATGATTTTCACACTCACTGGGACAGCAGCCCAAGAATGTGCATCTGGGTATTGGGGATGAACCCAGGGCCTTGCACAAACTAGCAGTGTCCCCAACTGAGCTACAACCCCAGGCCCAAGAGTTTGCATTTCTAAATTAAAGTGTTTGCACAGGATGCAAACACTTTAATGTTTCAGTCCATGGCTCACACTTCAAGACCTATTGCAAGCACACACCTGTAATCCAGGTGCCTTAGTTACTTTCCTGGTTGCTGAGATAAAATACCTGACACTCAAAGTTGAAGAAGGAAAGGTTAATTTAGCTTAGTTTGCACAGGGTTCAATCCATAATCAGCTGGCTCCAAGGCAGGGTAGCACATGGCAGGGGGGCAACTGTTCATGGCGGTGGAACACAGCAAAGCAAAAAGGGAGCAAGAGTGGAGAGAGAGACAAGGTCTTCCGTACCCTTTTACTTCATCCAGACAACTGGGATTAAGGCAGTGCCAACCCATCAGTGGAATGATCCAGAAGTTGCACACCCTTCATCCCAGCACCCTTCATGCCAGGATTGCACCCTCTAGATTCAGCTACCACCAAAAAAGGCTGATGACCACATGAGGTTCTGGGGATCCATCTAAACACAAACCATAACACCCAGCTATTCAGGAAGCTGAGACAGGAAGATGAAAAATTCAAGGACAGTATGAGCAACTTGAGATCCTGCCTCAAAAATAAAAAGGGCTAGATGTAGCTCAGCACTCCCTGAATTCTATACCTAGAATCACAAAAAAGAAAAAAAAATGCTATAGTAAGTAAAAAGTTGTTGGAGAACTTTATAGTGGATGGATCAGGCTGGCTCCACCTGTTAAGATGTCAATATTAAGATCACAAAAAGAGCTGAATCAACATTATAAGCCTCCGGCTATGACACCAGTAGAAGTACCAG